ACATTTACCACAAATTAAATGTATCTTATATTATTAGATATATTATTATAAAACATGTTTTGGTTAAGGAGTTATTGATACTTCAAGTGCAAAATGATGATATAAAACCATGATAAAAATGCACTTTTAAGTACTAATCACTTAGCATTGGGACTGCCTTACCTATATGCTAGGTCAAATCCAAGTGTATGGCTGTAGAACTTGACAAGACTCAAGGCTCGTGGGTCCAGTATTAGGACCTAGTATTTTTTAGTCCTTATCGGGACCCAAGGCTCATTGGTCCTAAAGCATGATCTAATTCTCTTGGATCCTAACCCAAAATCCATTAAAATTAGTTCTTGTATGGGTAGGACCCGAAATAGTTTTGGGTTCGATTGCACAACAAGACCCAAGAAATTTGGGGACCTAATAGCACTTGATTCAAATTTAATTCTCTTGGGTCCTGTATGAGGATCCATTTCAATTGAGTCATGTTTTTGCATCCAATTCTCTTAGGGTTTGTGTTACGGCCCAATTATATTGGGTTCAACTTTAGGACTCAAAGGTAATGAGTCATACATATAGACTCAAGGTTCTTGGGTTTGAGGTTTCTAAATATTATTATTTATGTTATAAATATTATTATATTTATTATAATTAAAAGATTAATATAAAAATTATTATTATTTGTATTATAAATATTATTATTTTTATTATAATTAAAATGATTTGTAAAACAATTAATAAATTTGAAAAAAAAATATTATCAATATCGAAAAAAAAACTTAGATTTGATTTGAAGGGTAAAATTAAAAATTATAGTTATTATTATTATTATTATTAAATTTAAAAAAATATATTATTACTATTAAAGAAAACAATAAAAAAAATATGAGAATTTGAGCATATAAGTTAAATAGACTTGAAATTCTTGAATTCAGCATTACAACTACACTCAACACTTTTGGTTTTATATTTTTTTGATATTTTTTATGAAAATAAAAAGTTGGTTTGTGATATAGCATATGCTACCTAACTAGTATTATTTTAAATTCAATCCAAACATTTACACAATTAATTGAATTCCTATACTATTAATTACTCTATGATGTATTCCATTTATAATAAAGACCCCTCCATGTATCATTGATTTTGATATGTTACGGTCAGCATGTTAAATGATTGGCATGCTTTGTAATTCTAAATCACAAAAATAATTAAAATTGATTATCATTGAAAATATTTTCCTTTTTATTTCATGAAAAGTTGTTTCTAAAAATTATTTTAATTTTTTTATATTTACTTACTATTAAAAATTTTGTAACTGAAAATAAAAATTTAACTTGATTTTTAAAATAATATTTTTTTTATTAAGCATAATATATTTTTTAGAAATTATGAAAAAATTAAAAAAATTTTGTTATTTTTTAATTATATTAAATTTTATCCTCAATCTTTTAATTATTATACATTTTATTTTAAATTTTTTATATATATTTTATAATTTTATCTTTTAAAATTTTATATTGTTTTATTTTTACATCAACTTTGGTTCTCATTCTTTTGATTACTATTTATTTATTTATTTAATTAAAATTCTTTTATCTATCATATTAAGTCCTCATTCTTTTTTTCGTGTTTATTTTATTTAAAATAATTTATAATTTTTTTTTAATTTCATCAACTTTCAATTTTTTTATGTCAAATTAGATCCAAATTATTTTAATTTGTATTTATTTTATTTAAAATAATCTATAAAATTTGACTTTCCTTTTCAATTTCATCCTATTTCAATTTTTTTTATATGTTAAATGTGATCTTTATTATTTTGATTGCTATTTGTTTTATTTAAAATAATTTATGAAATTTGATTATTTTTTTCAATTTTATCTTCTTCCAACTTTTTCATATATTAAATTTGATCTCTATTTTTTTTATTAAAATTAAAACAAAAATTAAAACATCAATAAATTATTTTTAGTTTGTTTTTCATAATATAAATAAATATTAAAAAATATTTTTCAACTAATTTTTTATAATACTATGAAACATTAAAAATTAATCAACTTTTTTTTTTTATAAAAAACACTTTTCAAAATAAAATTATTTTTGAGTAAATAAACGTTAACATTCCCAAGTTCTGTCGTTCTGTTCTTTAGTTTTTAGTTTATTACATCCAATTATTAATTACCTTATTTTCTTTTGTTTAGAGAACAAATTTGCTATATGTTTGAACCTCGAATATTAAGAGCAAAAAATATAAATAACTTTCGGATTACTAGTTCTATTTTGACCACTGTTTTTGGATGATATTTCAGGGATGTATTTTGTGATATACACATGTTTTTCATTTCTAAAAAACAAATAAATGAAACTTGTGGGGGTGTGATTGATTCACATCAAAGTCTTTATATGAAATCGAAACACTCAACAAATATTGGGGCCAAATTAAAATTTACCCTTTTTCTTATTCATTCAAAGGATTAGGGAAGACTTTCAGAAAATCCATTGAAAAGAAAGAAAATGGGAAGCAGAGCTGTTTTGCTACTCAAAGGACCGTCGCCACCAAAGCATAGCATCCTCTTCCTTCTAAACCACAAAAAAATCAGCCCCGCTCCTTCAATACGAAGATTCACAACAAAAGCAACAGCCAATGGGTCCTCTCTTGAACCACCAGATGTCGCTCGCTTGGCTGAAACTGCTAGAATTTCACTAACCCCACAGCAGGTTTTTCTCTTCTTTATCTCTACATTACAACTCAAAACTTACTCTCCCGTTCACTTAATGTAGTGGGTTTTTCTTATTCTTTTCAAATTTCAGGTTGAAGAATTCGGTCCTAAAATCCGACAAGTGATTGACTGGCATGCTCTTCTCTGTCTCTTTCTTTTTCCAATGATATGTTTGTGTTTTGAGACCCTTTTTGTTTGGTTGTTTATTTCAGGTTTGGACAAATTCAAGCTGTTGACCTTGACAGTGTGGAACCCTCAATCAGAGCAGGTGCTTTACAATCCTTGTATGCTGTCAAAACCGTTTTATGTATTTGCATTAACAATAAAGTGGTCATAGAAAATGTAAGATGTAATTCTTATGGGATTCGAATGAAGGGAAACGTGAGATTATTGAAATTGGACATGGTAGTTGTTTTTTCGAGCATTTGGTGAGGGCTATTTTGTGATGATTTTTTTTGGCGAAAATCCTTATCACATTTTGAGCAAGTGTGATAGTAATTTATAATCCAATGAATTTATAATGCAGGCAATCCAAATTGAGTTTTATCGTTCACTTGTACCGGCTTCTTTCGCTTATAGAATTGGCACGACATATTTCTATTTGATATGATGAAGAAATTCAAATTCCCTTAGTTTAACTTTGTGGTAGAAAGCCCTTGATCATGCTTCTTCTCATTTATACTGACAACCACATATTTTCAAAGTGAATCTTTTTTGTACGAAGTTCTCATTCATTAAATAGAAGGGAGGGGTTGTGTTTGTCTGCTGTAGCATTCCTTGTCTTCTAGCACACATTAGCTGATTCAAATTTGACTGTCTAATTTTCAACTTACAGACACCGAAGGTGACAACTTGCGTCATGATAATCCTGAAACGTTTGAGAACAGGTCGTTGATGCGTTTTTCTCTCATCGTTTCGTATAATTTTGTGTCATGATAAACACTATTATAACACCTTTGATGTGCGTTTGAATTTCCATCCAACAGGGAAGCTATCATTGCTGCTGTACCACACTATGAGGATCCTTACGTCAAAGTTCCCAAGGTTTTGAACAAGGAGTGAGACTATTTAGGTAAGTTGCTTTCCTTGAATGCACCATTAACAACAATGGGTTGTTTCTTTGCATGGTCCTTGAGCCATATAAGCAGAAAGAAATCTCATTTTTTTTACCACTTATTGCCCTCATTTGTTGTTTTATATATCACAACAATAAGGGCAATTAGACCTTTCTTAGAAGCTTTTCCTATGAAGTCCCGCATATGATTTGGGATTCTAGTCAAGGACTCAACCTTTATTTTATAATCACATTCCATCCCCAAATCCCTATCTCTCGAGATACAACATAGAAGGGGAATATGTTTTTCAAGTATAATTTTCATTCTTGGGATATCAACCAAGGCTCGTGAATGATTTTAATTTATTGTGATGATATGTACAATGAATATTGCATAATTACTGTGGGTTTTTTGGATCTCGTGTCACAGAACTAAGGAGAGATTATGGTGCGACTTTGCAAATGGGGGGAAGTTTGGCAGCGTTAGTGTGAAGAATTCTCCATGCAGTCACATAATCTTTTGTCCAAGGAACCAGAATAACGTCCAATCTTGTTTCTAGATTGAGTTTCTTTATGCACTCTGTGATGGGTAACTGTTAAGATTTTCTCTGGAATATATCTCTCTGAATAATCTCAATAAATCTCTCTGAATAATCTCCTTCCTCAATCGTCGGAGAATGTGGCCCTGTGTTCTTGTGGCGCCCTTCTTTCTCTAACATTTTCAAAAAAATAGACGAGTTTTAATTCTTAATGCAGCCATGCATATCTCGAAGAAGGAATTGAACCCGATTCTGCCAAAACCCCCGAGCAAGAATGATACAACAAAGAAGCTTTTCATGTCTTTGGAACTCTAAGCTCATCTTGAAAACGAAAGAGGAGTGCAAAGAACAAGATCAATCAAAAACTGGTGGTTCGAAGAGCTTCTACACCGCACAATTGGCATGCTACACTACCTACCGACCTCCTGCCTTATGAAATTGCATCCGGCTTTGTGTTCAACTTCTAGGTGCCCGGTAATGATTGCCACATCAACTACTTTCGGTGCCCGTGGGTATCTTAACCATTTAACCGGGTCATAAGCTGCTGCTTGTGTCGGACCAACGCCGGAGCATTGGTCTAATTTTTATACGAAATATGAAAGCGAGTCAGAATATTAGCAATTTTACCCGTTAGGTTAAGAACAAGGATATGAATCGAATATGCTCGAATGATTTCAATTAATAAAATTAACTTGAGAGTGGAATGAGAGCGTGGCCCAGCATTGTCAGGATTACTTGAGAGTGGAATGAGAGCGTGACCCAGCATTGTCAGGATTAGTACAAAGATTACAGGTCTTGCACTTGGTTCGAATGAGATTTTTCACTGCTGAAACTCCCGAATTGTCAAGAAGATGACGGGCCTACCTGCATAAGCGATTATGTCAAACATTGTCATCTGTCGATGCACCGAGACATCGCCTCCCCGAAACATGATAATCATGCCAATTTGGCAAACGCATCATTGTCTCTCTCTCTCTCTCTGGTAGCTATTCATCTTGCAAAATCATTGCTGAGAAACCCAGGCAACCAGCATAGCTTTACCTTGACAATCAATGTATGATTCTAAATGGCAAAATGAATTCAATAAACAGGTAGGTATTGCCCCTTTATATTTACATTGAACTCTATGCCAAAATGAGGATAACGCGTGAAATTACATCCAACAATTAATGCTCACTCTATTTGTACGTATTTTTATTAATTTTTTTTTTCTATTTTCTATTCCTAGATCTGTGTCAACCATTTACCTAGTGTTCTCAAAAAGCATGCAAAAGGAGAAGAAAAGGAACCCTCATTGTCAATGTGGAATATGTATTTGGCATATCATCATGACTGCCAGAACAGCTCAAAATCATTACTATACAGCGAGCGGTCTTGAATCTCCAGATTTGCAATGTGCCAGTTAACAAGTTGAGATTGTAAGATTTTACATGCAACCAGTCCAGCTGGAAAAATCCACCATTCACTTTCATCCCTGCAGGATAACCACACAAAAATACACAAGCGCAAAAGCATGTTAGTGGTGCTGTGTCACACACCAACTTGCCAATTAACTGAACTTTCTGTAAGCTAAAGAATCAACTTACATGCTAATATTCCATGGCTGAAAGGGGAACTTCTTACTCGAGGGTGATTGACTGTTATAGTGAATATATCCACAAATAAATGCAACAACCTGGCAGACGGTCAAAGAATAGGTTAGGTGACATTCCTTTGCAGAAGATGAAAAACAAGTCACATGTTCTGCAACTGAAAAAACTTGCAGCAAGAACGTTGAAATGCTCATATGGTGGAAGAATAAAGTGTGACCAAGTGGATAGATACGGAAACTTACAACATTAATTAAGGATGTGACATTCCACAAAGCATAGATACGTGCAAGGCCTGCAGAGCGCCTAGGTCCATGACTGAATAAAGCATTGATTCCCGCAGGAAAGGGCATAAGAATGCCAAGAGGTAAAATAAACAAAACAAGAAAGACATCCACCAATGAAATTGAATACAGCTGGAGTAAAGTAAGCAACACTAAGCTAAAATCTCCTAAAAGAAGCATAGAGATGACCAAACCAACAAGATCCTGCAAGACAAAGAGTAAAGATGAAGTAGGTTGGATTGCTGGTAAACTTTTTTAAAAAAATGCATGTACTGAACTCATTGACACAAAAGCTACCTGATGGCCAACAGGTTTAGCGTTATGAACTATGAAAGAGATGAGGTAAAATAAATCCCTCTTCTCTTTAAGCATTCTTAAGCTGTTAGTAACTATGATTCCCCCATGACTGCTTCTGTGAGCTTGGGATACAAGCATCTCTTCTCTCCAATGACCAGATGGATTTTCGCTGTGTGTGTTGTTCACACCAGTAACCAAGAGGCTGGAGAAAACCAAGTCAAATGCCATTCAACATCAAATGCATGAAACACATAAATGCAAATTTGTGCATCTCATAAAGGTCAGTTATTTATTAATTGACATGTAAAAGCATAATAATTCACAAAGGTCTGTCATAAAACCTCATATTCCATGCATGTTCATTAACACCTCCCTGCACAAATTTGTGCATCTCATCACATCTGATGAAAGTTCACCATAAAGGTCAGTTATTTATTAATTGACATGTAAAAGCATAATAATTCACAAAGGTCTGTCATAAAACCTCATATTCCATGCATGTTCATTAACACCTCTCTGCAACAAGTGCATGGCTGAACTTTCTACTACCTTTTGTGCACTCTGAACTTTCTACTACCTTTTACCTGCTCTAGTCATAGAACGGGAACTGGTTTATGGCTTTTTAATGACAAACATGCCAAATTTTGTTTCATATAATCATCATTTCACCATCTTCATACTTGCAACAATTCAAAATGCAGACAACTCACCACAATATTATACACCCTGATTGAGACAAACTTCCAAAGTGGACACACTAATTGGCTAAAATTTATGAGGCTAATCAGATAAATGGAAATTATACGCCCATAAAACATAATGAACCATTACCGAGATTCTTCTTCAACTTGTTTCACACCATCAATGCCTTCAATAAATATACGTTCGCTTTCTTCTTCAACAGCATAAACCAAAAGTCCATACTGGCAATGACCCGAAGTACTAGCCTGGAACCACGCAAGATCAACATGTATCCCATGGATTCTCAAAGCTGGATTTGCATGTGTTTCAAGCCATCTCAGGACAGGTCGAAAAGTTACTCTTAGCCGCCCACGACGAACTAAGCGCAGCTGTGCATTCAAACCAGCTGCCATGCGATACCAAGTGGTAGGAGGGACCATCTGCATGCCATAAGGAAAACCATAGATCAATTTGTTGAGCTATGAACTGCAAAATGTTGGTCAAGCTAAACCTCCCTCCCTAACCTTAAAAATGAAAATGGCTAACGTTTTAGCTTTGAGTTCTTGGAAGTGGATGTCAAACCTGGCTCATGAGGCTGGTAAGAATATTGTCACTTTGAATTGAGAAAGGAGCCATATAACTTCCATCACCTCCAAAAAGAATAGACATTGGAAATCTTTGATGTAGGCGAGCCGGAATATCAGTTCTTTTCTCATCTCCACCAAGGAAGAAATCCAAGTACACGAGCATTAAATCAGAAGTTGCAGCTACCTAAAGGACAGAGACCATAATTGAGCCAAATATTTATGATTTGTTTCTCACAAGGTCTTAGGTTTAAGGAATATATACTGTCTTGAATCCTCAAACATCTCACCCTCTCCTTTCTCTTGAAATATTCAAAACATAAAGTATAATAACAATAAGAGGCCAAACTTTTAATGTATATAGAACAAAATTTAAAACTACTAGGACCAAAAGTAAGCCATGTGACATGCTTATTTTGAAGGGAAGAGGTATAGAAAAAATGTGGTCTTAACATGCAAAAGAAAATCACACACAAATATTCAACTACTTGACTTTACCTAACGCCAGACCAAACATTTAATACAAACAAACCTTAAGCCCTTCATAGAGAGCCCGTGAACGGCAAGAGCGCAAGCAAGCATGATCATACTCTGATCGAACAAACTCTCGCAGTCTTTGCAATTTGATCCTCCGTCTCCATTGCTGCCATGACCATGCAAGGGGGTATGCAAGAACAGAAAGTATACTGTAAATTGCACCTTCCCACCATTGATAAGCAGCTATACCATTAATCTCATCCACAAATGTATTGAATGCACCCTCATATCTGACAGGCCAAAATAAATAAGGTGAAAACATAGTTCTACAATGATCATTGATATCAAAATCCCTGAAATTTAGCAGAAGAGCAGGGTCAATTGAGCCATTGCAGTAAACAACAGTGTGCAAATTAACTTACACAATCTCTTTTATTTGCTCAGGAGGAGTGTGGGGAAGATGCCAAGGCTCACTGAAAGTATTACGACCCATAAAATACATTCTGTGCACATGACTCTGAGACTCCTCAGCTCTATTTGTCTCCAAGACCTGAAAAGTGATGCAACTTGTCAATCCATACATTAGCTAGTGCAGCCCTCCCTTCAAACTCTTATATACACATATACATACACATACACATATGTACAAGGATCAAGAGATGGGAGATATCCAAGGCCTTATCTGAGTTCTGAATACAACTTTTAAATGAACAGAAATTAACATGTTGAGCATGGAAAAACCTCATTCAATGACTCCAGGAAGGGAAAAGAATGATCTATCTGAGAACCATGTTGAGTGGGAGCTGGACCAGGTAATTCATCCACCCCAACAAATTTCATCCGAGCAACACTGAGCACCAGTGCTAAGAGGATTAGAAGACCCAAAAGAAGAAGTCCAAACAGCCATGGCCCACCAAAAGTGTAAATCAACTCTTCCAGGGCTGTGTAACAATGTGGCATGTGAAATCTGTCTGAAACACATTTGTAAGGACATGGTGTTTCGGCAATACCACCTGGTAGAGAGGACAGAGTGAGGATTTGCACTTGTTTAGGACTACAAACATAATGCATGAGCCTGCAAATGCATGGTGTCTTCCAGCATTGTGTGTGAGATGGGCATGTGTACCCCTGCAAATCCTATCCTCCAAATAATTTGTCCATCTCAAGAAAATTCAACTTTAAAAGATGATGTTTGTTGCTTTGACATAGAACGTAAAAGGCACTAGCCTTCAAAACTGCACCCCTCCATTCGTGCTGTCTAATATCTCCTTTACATATAAAGGTGGATTGAAGAGGTCGCAAAATTTCGGAGATCAAATTGTTAGGATGCAATTATACAAATTTCAGGCAGACAACCACAGATTCCCAGCATGTGGTTTTACATCATGCAACATACTTATGAACTTCAACTTTAAATACCTCGAACAGTTACATAAGCAGCACGATGAGGAATATCATCAGCAGGGCAAGGACGACAGAGAGCTCTATCGGATCCAGTTACATTCTTATATGTTCCAGCTGGGCATTCCCGAAGAAGTACAAAAAATTGAAGGATAAACTGAAGACTGAAGAAAAGGTCATGTTGCAACTACAGCTTCATTGGAGTCAATAATTGTTTGGAACAGGATGTCTGCAACAATCACCAAAAAGCATAATCATAACAGAACTCCCTAAGAACTAATACAATTTGTCATGGTACTTGTCCCTTATTTCTGATTAGATGATTGCAATGTTCATTTCTGTGGTCCAAAAACTTAAGAGATTGACAATTCAACTAATACAAGTTGCAAGATCATTTTAGTAGAGCACAAACTGAAGGAAAAGAAGCAAGAAATCAAACCATTTCCACTCTTGCCCCTCATATGTTCCTAGCATACATAGGTAGAAGTAGAGGGAGAAAAAGGAAAGGAACCCTCTCAATTTTTTATCCTTTTCTCACGATCACTATTTAAAATGCACTGTTTAACTTGCTAACACTTGAAAAATACTTAAGACATAAGTTTTACCCCTTAACAATTACTCCTGTAAAAATTATGACACTAACAAAATCACCTTCATTTTTTTATCATGAAACAAATGCAACAGAAATTGAATACTACATTATTTTCTCAACTAAAATTGTATTGATGACAGTGGGATTGTAATTCCTAAGACCCATGCATATAATCTCAACATACACATGCAATAATTAACTCAAGAAAGGACATAGATAATATCACAATGTCAAGAACTCAACACACTACCTCACAAAATATTCCATACAACCCCTTTGGGCAAGCTTTCCCTGACACTGTCCCATTTTCCCCAGCATGACCCTCATCTCTTCCCAATCCTCCCCTGCAGTGAAGAGTGAAAACCCAGTCAGACCAAGAATGTGTGTCAGAGCCACCAGTTACAAACATCGGTGTTACAAGGCAGAATATACATTCACAAATGATAAAGATGCAGAGGACAGAGCCAACAGTTAACAATTAAATCATTGTAACAAGGCAGCATATACATTCACAAATGCTAAAGATGCAGAGGGCAGACTGCATTCAGTAAAGGCAGGATAAAGGACTTAGTCCAAATGATAACCGTGTGCTTGTGGTGGGCTTAATGAAAGGTGAACATATATGCTATTTGTGATCTTTGGGAAGAGTCCTAAGAAGCATCAAGCAAAATAATCTAATATTTGCTCACACAAAAATTCATAGCTTCCATTTGGCCAATGCCTGAAATATAATATTAGGGAAGCATTAACAAGCAATGTGTTAGGATGAGGATCATGCAAGCTTTCATGCTAACGTGTTCAGCATACCAAGTGCCAAACAGAAGCTCTATCTGTCAGCCTTGCCTAATTTATGTGCGCATGGATGTCCCACTATATCTTCAGATAATCAACGAACAATTTAGTCCCTTCCAAACTTGGCTGGTGTCTTTATGCTATGTCGCTGGCTGACAGCTTCTTCCACTCAATTACCCAATCAATCACCCGACATTTCATATCTAGTAGCTCATATTAAATTTCTTATTCATAATTATTGTTTATTTGATTATTCAATTACCAAACTATTCAGCATATAGTCATTCTGTGATTTCAGACACAACTTCTCTTTAACAGTGGTCTTTCCTTCAAAATTGGCTTCTAAACTTCATTAGAACTCATAAATAAATAGCTTCTGAGACTAAACAATACCATAAATACTCAAATTATCTTTATTCCAGTAGACTCATAAAGACTTTAATATTAAGAATAAATTGATTTCAAACATCAGGAAAATCTAATAATCATGATATAGAATGAATTAAATGATCAATATTATCTGTGCAAATCTGATAATCTCTAACCAGGTTTTCCGATATTCCTTGGAAAAAGAAAACCCTGTGAATTGGAATTATATGGAACAATCAGAAATGCATCGTTTAAATCGATCAGTTTAAACAGATCAGGTAAAATACGAACCAAATGTGGATGCTTCCATTCACACGAGCAATGGGCTGATACACGTCCCCAGTTGGAATGTCTGACCAATGGAAGTGAACCCTTCCACCACCACCTCCACCGCCCCCCTTCGGACTACCATATCCCCCAACACTTGAAAGAACAGCATACCCGCCAAGATCTAGAGTATGCAAGAACAGAAGAATAGTTCCTCCAGAGCCACCGCCAGGACCTCCACCAGTACCGTTCATGACAACCAGTTGATCTCTGGTGATTCCTTTAAAACTTTCACCATCAGCTCTGACTGAACCTTCAACAGACAAACTTGACAAGGGATGCTCCAATGAACCCATTACTGCCCAGACAGGTAGAACAAATGAACATGAGGGGATCGGTTTGCAGGTAAGTAACATATGAACACAAACACAACCAACTTCCTTGAAATGCAAAAGGGCAACTTAACAATGTTAAAAGTTGCCAACCTGAATGCATAGATATTGCTATTTTTAACATACCCCTGAAAGAGGTAATCCAATATCACCCTACCAAGAAGGATAGACAGATCCCTTGCCATATTATGCAGAAGGTTTTCAAATGATACAGATAAAAGATAATACGACATCATAAGAATGTCAAAACAAAGCTGAAAGTTATCGGCTGATAAATTGATCTAAAGTACAAACTTACCTATAATACCACCACCTGCAGTAGAACCAGCAGACATTTCCTCTCCGCTTCCACTACCAAGTTCACAAGGTAACTCTGCGTTACCATATGAAACACCACCCCCAATACAGCTATCGTTGTAACATGCAGACCCACCTTTACCACCATGGCCAGCACCACTGCCAACACCATTGCTTAAAACATTACCTCTACCCACACCACCAGTGCAACCTGCATGAATATGATGTCGTCAACTTCTGTCTAAATATGATTCTTCAATGAGAACACCAACTTCTCTCATCTTGACTCAAACACAACAAACAAACTGAAAAAGGCATCCTACACTATTCAAAATTCAGCTTAAATCTGTGTGACGGTATACATTGAATCTATTGGTGTTTGTCTACGTGTGTGCAGGGGAAGGTGGAAAAGGGAGGGAGGGAGGAGAGTCTGTGTAAGCTGAAATAGGGTAGGATAATGTTCATAAAAGAATCTTGTACACAGAAAAAGAGAGCATACCCATGCCAGATGCACTTATTGTTCCAGAAGATGGAACATATATTGTTCTCGCCCGATGAAAATGAACAACAGATCCTTCTATAAGTCCTTCAACAGTAATATCCTCCACTCGGCATATCTGAAATAAATGAAAGAAGTAAGGTAACCTGGAATAAGTAAATTTCAAACCTTACAACATGCAACTTCTATTCAAGGATCACCTGAAGAGTAAAAGAAAGAGATGAGTTCACATTGCAATCTTCAGGGGGGTGAAGTAGTTCAGAAGGGCACTCTTCAAGTTGGCAATGGAGCCGTGGTGTACTACAGAAGTAAAACCACAGATCTCAGTAAGCCCAAACATAAAGTGGAGAGATTAAAAAACCAACAAAATTTGGGACTTACATGGCATCACTTGTTGCATTCTCAACAGGACCACGCAAAACAGAACCAGGTGCAACCTAATGGAAAATTGGAAACACATAATTAGTCATCAATGGTAAGAATACAAACTTGTCAAATGCATCAGCAAGGCTGGTAACAAACATTGAAAGGTTTCAGGGACTCAAATCATGCCACAACAACATTATCAGTGTAACAGAAACAAGAAACAAACTTTTCAACCCTTTTCCATAACCCTTATGAAAAAATCACTCCATCCCAGGGTCCTTCAGAAATATATTTGACAACAGAGGAATGTTTTAGGAAGATTGCAATAAATACATTAACACAGCTTTCCAAAGTTAATCCTAATCCACTTGAATAATTACATTGAAAGTTCATTTTAGCATACGATAAAGACTGGATATTATTGGAAACTAAAACAATTTTCTTGACTTCTAAAAATTGAATAAAATATTGGACATCCAAAAAACCATGTACTATAGCCATGCCAGATGCACTTATTTGATCTCATCCCAGCAGTCATGACTGCTAAAAACTAATGAAAAAGTACTGCAAATAAAACCAGAGCAGCAGGTAGTGCAAAAAATAACTACAAAACGGAGGCAAGAGAACTTGAATGCATTAGAATCACTGTTTTTTCCCCAAAACAACAGGGGACAGACCGCTATGTAACCACCAAGCAAAGTGAACCTTTTAAGCCATCAAGGTCAATACAGTTAATTAAATTACAAAACACAGCTTACATGAATACTGTAAAATAGTGATAGAACCAAACGTTGAGCTTCAATCCAATTGCCTGGTCCTGACAAATTCAATAGACCTTGACCATGAACTCCCAGATTGGCATTAGAATGTATGACAGATGATTCCTGTTTTACAAAAAGGATCGGCATATCATTTGCAAACACAGCTTAAGTACTATGTAAAGGACACAATGAAAAAGTACCTTGAGAACAACTAGATTGCTAGCCTCAAGCAAAGAAGTCCCAACAGTTGCATCTTCACCCCCATCTATGAGCATTTGGGAATTCCACATTAAGAACATTTTTACACTCATGCGTAGAGCGCCATATACCTGATGTGCAAAAGCAAAGATCATGCACATCAAATTCATATGCGTTCAAGCATGAATAAGAAACAGCATACAAATAATAACAGAATGCAAATCTAAACAATGCATGGGTAGAGAGTGGAATAGGCAGAAACTTCAAATTCTCATCTATCAAGTCTATGAAAAAAATATTACCACCAGACTAGGAGTGAAGATTTAAAGAAACCATAATTATGAAACAATAAGTATACTATAATAAAAGAAAAAACATATCAAACAGTTAGAATAATACTAGGGATGATTTCCAAGTTTTAGTTTTAATAGGAGATTAACAAAAGCAATAATACCTCTAACATTACTCAGAGTGTTATGTTGGATATAAAAATTCTAACGGTAAAACCGCACCAATATGCAGGTGTTCCCATGATAGACAAAATATATGCATACAAGTGCATACAAAGACATAATTATACAAGGCAAGGGCCAACAAAAGGGGGATAGAATGATGGGTGAATTTCACAATAACCATGGACATGCTGAGAAGTTATGAAACTTCCAGGAGTGATGCAGTGACACACAAGCAATTTCAGTTTGCAAACAATTTAGTTGACTGAAACTTGAAAGCTATTCTTCTTGAGGCTCTACTACAATTTGTATCTTATTTGCAAAAACTAGTTATTCAGGTTATAATGAAATTTTGGGTTACTAGGGAACTTTATGATTTAGAAGTCATTTTATTTCCAATTTAGTTTTATTATACGAGGGTTCCTGAAGATCCAATACATACCCACAAGTTTTGCACAGATTTAATGATGCAATTAGAAATGAGAAGAATAAAATGAATCGAGACCAAGGATGAGTGTTTAATATTAATTAGGAGTTCAGTTTGAGAGACTTCATTCCATTACCTAATTACTATGGTCTATTAGAGTTTTTGGTGGAGCCTCAACATGAGAACCCATATTATGTCATGTGGAATAGAGGATTCTGATGATAAGCAATTGACAATGGATGGCAATTCATTTTCTACTCTCTTTTTTCTATGTTATTCTATATTCTCCCCTTTTTTCTTCTCTCCTTTCCATTCCTTGTATTATGGGAAACCAAAGAAAAGCATACAGTTTTCCTTAATGCTGGCTGAAAACATACAGCAGCATGGGTTTTTGCCATGTTCGTTAAGTAGTCATAAATGCATATAGCTTACCTTGATTACAGAGTCACTCATTAAAAGCTGTCATAAATGCACATAGCTTACCTTGATTACAGAGTCACTCATTAAAAGCTCTTCGGCCAGTAATTCAAACTCTGATGAAGCATAATGAGCTAGCCCAAAGCTTAAGACTCCACTACATAACAGACTTATTTGTCCTTGGACCTACATATTTCACCAGGATTAGCTTAAAATGCAATTATATCGACAGAGAAAACTTAGCATCAATAAAAAAATCCAAATGCAGCTTGTGGCCAAAGAAGTTGACCACCAACTAAGATAACAAAATACTGTACCAGTAGAAATATCCTCTCTTTCGAGAATTGATACCTTCAACCCATTGTCTCAAAATTCCACTAATGAAAAAGATTAAAAAGGCAGGCCAACATAAAAAGCCTGCCTGGTGCTCCAAAAGATCCTACAGCCGATGCAAGCTATCTTATATGGACAGAATGAAATATAAAAAAGCTACAGAAGTGCAGGCTTATATAGACAAATATACAAGCATACAATAAATTCCTATTGACATTGGAAACAAGCCTCTCAACAGCCGGTGCAAGCCATCTTATATGGACAGAATTTCTATGCTTTTCAGCATTTTCATCAAGTACAATTTTAAAAACTTTCTGAATAGTTGTGCCTGAATGATGTCCCAAAACTAAAGAAACTGACGAAAAAATGGACAAATGGACTGAATAATTTTGCTGAAGTATATAATATATGCATATTTGCATGTTATGCAGAATTGGTTATATGTCTGGGCCTGTGCATGCACATATAGTTTTTAGTAAGAATTCATCTTTTTCTGCCTTCTATTATATGCATGACACCCAAAGTATTGCACATTCTAAAACCAGCACTTCAAATTATTCCTGTTTCTGCACTCTATTCATTTCCTTTAAATGAGACCACCAACCATCTTCAAAATAGAATTTCTTAATCTTCGCAATTTCAGATTATTCCTATTTATGCACTTCATACTCTTCCTATTTCTCAACTCTATTCATTTCCATTAAATGATACCAACAACCCACAAAGAACGAGGTCTTAATCTCTTCCCAAGGCTAACAAGTTCTTGCAGACATAAAGAAGCTAAGAAGCAACTCAAATTTCAACAACCTGGACACGACTCCAGAACAACGGAACAGTAGCCCTGCCATGATTTCGAACATAAACGTTTGTCCAGAGAGGCTGATAAGGAAACTCCAATAGAAGCGTATCTGTATCAGTAGACATATTGTGATTGCTTACGGTAAGGCTCCGGGCAACAGCATCATATAAAGTTCCAGCACCACCTGCATTTTTTGGACAACCAAGACTATTTCCTCCTACAAGCATAACAACAAAGCATGTGATTTCAGTATTTGCACATTGAAAAGAACAATTGAATTGACCCATAGAAGGACAAGTCCTCCAAACATAGTGTCATCTAATACACAGCTAGCAATCGCACCCCAATAATAATATCCAAATAAAAATGAGCTCAAGATAGAAATTTTGAATTTTAGGAATGGGGTGCAAGACTTTCAGAACAATAAAAGCATAAGCCTAACAGAGAAACTATTTAATAAACACAGTAGAATGTTCCACCCTCTCACATTCATCTGGTGACTATATTTGGCAGACATGCACGAGAGAGGGGGGGTGGCTAACTTGGATGTATTTAGTGGTTGTGTATATAAATGAAGAGGAAACAATACCTCCAAATGCATGTTCTTACCTCCAAGACTGTCTTAAAGGACACTTCAACATAATTCAGATTATATATATAAAAAAAAAGGAAAGAATGTAAATGTTGTGAACATGAATGATAGTTCAAACTTCCTTTTAATTAAACCTACACTTCCCTGTCTCTATAGGAAAGCACTCATTGAGACATCAAGAGACAAGTAGATCACAAGATTTCATAATAAAAATCCAGGCATGGCAAGGGAACATGTTGAGTCTCACCATGCACAAATATTTGAGGGTCATCATGTCTACTGAAAATGTCAACTGAAACTCTTCCCCCGCCGCCACCAGCAAAACCATTACCTCCACAAGCACTTATTCTGCCACCTCCAGTCCTGCTCTTCACATAGAGACAAGTCAAAAAGACAATTAAAACCCAATGGGAATACCATGACCGCAGAGAATGCAAGTTGAGACAGACATGATCAGCATGTACCTAAAACTCAGTCCACCACAGATACATGGATGACATGACATTAAATAATTCAGCCTCTCATTGCATGCATTCTCACACACACGCAGATATTCTTCAAGTTACAAGACACACATGCATAAGCAGACACATAATGAAGCTAGCGCATATGTACATTTGATGCCCTCATTTATCAAACTCTTGTATAGTTAAACCCCTCTCCACCTGCACATAAACTGTAACTATATTTGACGTTCAAGAATATAGTGTCTTGTCCTCCATTCAAAGATCATAATTAGAGGCGGGTATATATCAGTAAACTATCTGACTGTCCATGACATCCAAATGCAAAAGCCAGAAAGACAGTGACAATTGACTGAGAAAATGCAAAACAGCATGCACTACCAGAATCAAGTAAGCAGGGCCACAAAATAGCTAAACATTGAAAGTCAGTAGACCAAGCATCGCCACTTTATGAAAAACATTGTATTAGGCCTAGATATATAATGGGTACAAACATGAACAAGAGGCAGTGACCGAATTCTTTCTAGTTATCAATAATGAAAGGACATCTATGAAAGGAAATCAAAAGATTTTCCTTCATTTAATACAAAATATTTAATTAAACCAATTTAAGTCTTATTCTATGATAAAAATGATCTTCCACAGCCATTGGGATTCACATTTACCCTTCAAAGCTGATGCTACATCTTATCTCAAGTAAATAGCATGATATCTAAAACCTTATAACACTCTTGATAATACCATTAAAAAGGCTAATGTTCAAACTCCATTGCCTTCATTACGTCTTACCTTTCACAAGACTCTTTCACCAGCCTTGCATTAACCAATCTCCATTAATTCTCCACAAATTCTTAAACCATTAAACCTCAATCCCCTCAAAAACCAAACTAAACAATTCCAAAACAAGAACTCTTCATTATTGAACAAGACTTTTTTAACTAGATTCATTAATCAATCTTTTCATTTATTATTTTCCAAAATGTAATCCACAAAACCCCAATTCCAATTACCAAATTACAAACATATAAAATTCCAAAATAAAACAGAATCCTAACAATAAATCCAACACAAGACAGAGGAATGAATGTAGTTGGTAAGTAAGTAAATTACATTTTATATGCCTTCAAATGTATGCTCCCACCAGAACCACCACCTCCCTTGACACCCCCATTACCACCATCAGCCAATACAGCCCCATCCAAAACCAAATACTCCTTCACTGTCATTTTCACTCTCCCACCTCCTCCCCCTCCATAATCCACTTCCTTACTCGTACTCCCTCCTTTACTCCCATAACTACATGGCTCCTGCAAACTCGACCACGAATACGCATCCCCTCCCCAAACATCCTCCGGCAACTTCTCTTTATCCACCAAACAACATGCCCCTCTCCCTCCATGACCTCCACCAGCCCCTTCTAACCCCTGTGGTGTCCCACTCGTTTGCGGAGGAGGATCCCCAGCTAATCCCGTCGTATTCACAACCGAACCATTAAAAAAACTAGCATTATTCGCAACAAGCTCAAACGCACCGGTCAAAATCGACGAATTAACTGATAAATTGAAATTTCCTGAGATATTTATCGTTATTGAACATCCAAAATTAGGACAATGGAACCTCACACCGGGATGGATATAAAAATCTCCTTTCCCTTCTATATACACGTCACGAGTGAGATTCACATCGGTAACTATTTGACACGCAGTATCAATCGAACCGATGCCTCCAAGATCATCAGTGCAAGATGCCGACGGTGGATGCGGTGGCGGTGGAGGTGGTGACGGTGGTGAGTAGTCTTGGTGGAAGAGGATATTGGAATCGAAATCAATTATCGAAAAGGAATCGGATTCCGAATCCGAAGAGAGAACTCTAGGGTTTGTGGTTAGGGTTATTGCTGTAATTAAAAAGGCTATAAAGGCGAAATTGAACTGGAATCGAGCCATTCACTGATGGTGAAAGGCATTACAATTGGAAATTAAGATTTGTGGATTTCGGAATTGAATGGAAATGGAAACGTTGGATTTCGGGAATCAGTTTCACCATGAGAAAGAAAGAAAGAAAGAGATGCAATTTGCTTTCTTCCTTTTAAGAGGATTGAAAACCCTAGAAATGAATTCTCGGCCACTGCAAAGGTTTTGAGAGAGAAGGGCACAAAACAGTATACAACGGACAGGATAGGTAGAGAGAGAAAACAACAGGAGAGGGGCGGGCGCTTTATTGGGTGAGGTTAGGTTTGCGACAAAATGAGGCTATGTCACGTGAGCTCGGTCTTGTATCGAGGTTTTATTGGTTGAGATTGTGTGGGTTCTTGCTTTGGCTTGACTTTTTATAGAATTGACCAATGGGACATGCTATTAGGTTGTATTTTGATAGCGTTGAGCGTGTGTGAATATTTTGGTTCAGTGAATTCCACGAGAATGAAACTTGTTTCACGCGCGGTTATGGAAATATTTGATCTGGTGGAGGAAATGAAGGCGTTACGGGTTTAAGGCCGTTGAAGATAAAAATTTGTTGCTTTGGGATTTGATATTTGTTATGGAACAGAGACGCGTAACATGAAGTAACAAAACCAATAAAATGATATTTGTTACAACAAAGGACCTCTTCTTCTATTTTTTCTAAAAATTAGGTTTTTTTAAAATAATTTTTTTTCTGCAACTTGTTTAAAGTGTGTTTCTTATTATTTTTTAAAATATTATTTATTTAAAAATATATTAAAAAAATATTTTTTATATTAAAATATTTAAAATCATTAAAAATATATTAATTTAAAATAAAAATATTTTAAATTTTTTAAATAATATTTTAAAAATATAAAAACAATCAGCAGCATCTATGTAATGGCTAGAAAGCCTGGCAACATGAAGTAGAACCCGCATAGAGACGAGAAACTATTTTGTACACCTCCAAGCACCAGAACCCCGAGAAAGAAAAGAGATTAACCACGTGTACAGAGACCATTTTAACCAGGAAAAAGAAACAATCAATAACTGCATAAAAAATCATATAATGTGAGAGCCATCTATAATTTATTATCCCAAGCTACACGTTCAAACCCCAAAAAAAAAACATGCAATAAAATTTTTATTGATATTATTATGGTTTAATTGTTAGAATCTATTGTCTCTCTGTATAGTAATATTAATAATATTAATAGGAATTTTAGTTTTCTTTATAATGAAAAATAAATTATTTTTTATATTTAATAGAATCATAGAAAATTATTAGAAAGTATTTTTGATATTTGACCATAACGAATATAAGTTAAAAATAATTTATTTATATTTTTTAACTTATTAAAATAAAGGAATCAAATCTAAAAAATAAAAATATTAAAAAAAGATGAAATTTAAAAAAAATAATTTATAAATTATTTGAAATAAAATAAATATCAATCAAAATAATTGACACTAAATCTAACAAATAAAAAAAGTTAAAAAAAGATAAAATTAAAAAAAATCTAATTTTATTAATTATTTTAAATAAAACAAATAACAATTAACATATTTAGTTATTTCACCTTGTTTTGTTCTTAAAATTTCATGAAGTGTTTGTTTTTAAGAAAACAAAAGGAAAACACTTTTCTTTTTTTAAGGTCAATTATCTATTTAACTAGAAAGTGTTTTTCTAATATGAATCCTATGCATATAAAGATTCAAAAACCCATAATCAAATTGAAGCCTCCCAATAAAGCTAAATTTAGAATTATAATTAATCTTGATATAATGATAAACTGTACCAAAACACAAAGACTATAACTAATTGAACCCCTACTTAACACCTATAAATCAAAGCGAACAATATAAATCAAAACAAACAAGAAATATGAAAGATGCCACGAAACTTAATTAATTTTTCAATAAGTCAAAATAGTTTAATAAAAAAACAAAATATAAGAATCCTTACATAATAAACGCTGCAAATAATGTATTTTCTAACTTAAAAAAATGATGTCTTACAACTTGAAAATTTATACATTAGGTAACCTAACGGGCTCACATCAATCCAAAATAAAATAAAGCCCAAAGCGTGAATAATAATAAAATAATAATTCTAAACATAAACTCAATATGTCTAATATAATAGAATAGAAGAAAATATTTTTAGTGAAATCCTTATTTAAAAAGAACTTTTGGGTGAATATGTGTCATGTTGCCCCTTGAAGTCTAAAACAAATAAGTAAAACTCTTGCAATTAATTCTTCCCTTACCACCTCTGTTTTCACATATAATAAAGAATCCTTTCATAGCTTAGAATTCATAAAACACATAAAAACAAATAAATATATAAATCATCATCTCTTTTCTTAAAATGATTCAACTTCAAATTGTTACCTACATCAAACAAATAAAGATTAAAAAAATACTAAAAGTAGCAATAATGACACGACTAAAAGATTGTTGTTTTCTCCTAAATGCAGGAGTATCGAAGTAATAAATAACCCGGCAAGACTAGGGTCAAACCACAGAGAGGTTAATTGTACAAATTATAAACGACAATAGTAACAACAACAATAATAATAGTAATAACAACAATAACAATAATTATAATAGTAGTAGTAGTAGTAGTAGTAGTAGTAGTAGTAATAGAAAAAGAAGAAGAAGAAGAAGTTGATGAGAACTTTGAGATGGAAAGATTAACGTAAGGATTAAACAATGATAATAACAAATGTCAAGGTTAGAGGTTCCATTAATGGTATGTCAAATAAGTATAGTATAAACTCTTATTATTCAATTGGAAACCACACACAAAGGAGGTTACAATCAGATTATAGATTGTTAACATGATTACATTAGTCATCTTATTCGATTAATGCTAGGACTTGTAAATCTCGTCAAGCATTCATGATTATAACTTATGTTAACAACAAATCAAGTTCCTTGCATAGCTCAAGTGTCGGTTATACCATACAGTATGAACTATGAAAGTGCCGAGCATTTGTTGTACCAAGTGTTATACAACATAAATCAAGATTAGTCATTTAACAAGTAAAGTACTAAAGAGTGAAAGAAGATAACAAATACAAAACATGTTAATATCAAACATGAAAGTCCATATTAAGTTTACATTATACTTATTCTTACACCATTAGTGTAACCTTTTCACCTTGACATAATAAACTTAGCTAGACATAATAAAAGAAAGAAAAATAAATAAACAAAATAAGAACAATAAGATAAGAGTTAACTAAGTAAAGGAAAGGAATTGAAAGGCATAAATTTGATATTAAGGAAAGCAAAGCATAAACATTACAAAAAATACAAAGAGAGAAAACAAGAGCATGATCTTGATCTGGACACCAAGATGCCTAAATGCATGGCAAATGCCTCCTTTTATAGGCCAAAATTGGGAACTATTGATTTGATGACTAATTGATGAGTGGGTGGCCAACTCTTGACTATTGATTTGATGACTAATTGATAAGTGGGTGGCCAACTTTTGACTTGGTGACAATCCTTATCTTCTCTTGTCTGCCCAAAACATCATTGATAACGTCAAAATTGGAGCCACTTGAAAACATGAAAGTTATACTAACAACAATTTTGCACATGCTTTGTGAAATAGAAAGCACAGTTTTTTTTTAGCTACTACCTTCTCCCCCCAACTAAAACGAGACATTATCCTCAATGTTTAAAGGTAGAAAGATAGAGTATAGAAGATATCACCTGAAATAATGAACATTGACAAACCTGAAATACACTGAAACAAATATAAGTAACAACAAAACACAATAATAAAATCAAAAGACATAAAGATTCACAAATGAAGGCTCAAATTCAATCTAAGCTTTTTACGACTTTCCTTAGTTGACCAATTTATGCAACTCATGGAGGGATCAATCACAAGAATAAAATATTGTAGTTGGTCAATCAATTGTTCAGCAGTAGCAGCAGAGATTATGATTTGTCGTGCAGAAGATGTTAGAAATTCTTGTTCCACAACATGATCAAGAAAAAACAACAACTTATCATACTAACCATTAACATTTAACAAACCTATGGGTTTATGGTGAATGTGCAATTGAGCCCAAGAGGAAATATGAAAGATCTCTTCCAATGTGCCTAGACCACCTGGTAAAGCAATGAAGGCATCAGTATGGTTAAACATTGCATTCATTCGAGTCGACATTGTGGAGACCTGAAGTTCCTCTTCAATTGTTTTTCTGATGATGTCCCCTAGTGCTAAAGCTTCAGGGACGACCCCCAAACCTTGACTACCTCCTAAAAATGCAGTTATTGACACACCTCCTATTAACTCAAGACTGCCTCATGATTAGTACTTAAAAGTGCATTTTTATCATGGTTTTATATCATCATTTTGCACTTGAAGTATCAATAACTCCTTAACTAAAACATGTTTTATAATAATATATCTAATAACCTAAGATACCTTTAATTTGTGGTAAATGTTCATTTTAAATGCAGGCCTATCACATAAATGAAAGGATTGATTGATGACTTGAAGAACTTAAATTGCATGGATAAAGAGATGGTCAAACTTAGAGAAGAGATGTCGGTGCAATCCAAACCGGAACACTGTTCGGTAATTGGGTCACTGAAAGGACAAAGAGATGACCAAACTTAGAAAAGATATGTCGGTGCAATCCAAACCGGAACATTGTTTGGTAATTCGATTATATCTGGAGTTATAGATATCCAATTTAGGTCCACTTTATATGGATGGAAAGGCAAGACATAGGCCTATAACTTTCATATGGAGCCCAAGATCTAAAATGGCCACTTTCAAGTCCAAATTATAGCAACAACAAAGAAGCCCGATTCTGTCTTCCAACCCGAGCACTATTTAGTATTTGGCCCATATCTGGAGTTCTAAAAGTCCAAATGAGCTGAATTTTTTACACAAGAAAGCTGAGACAATTGCCTACAACTTTCATGTTTTCAAGTGGCTCCAGTTTTGGGCAGACAAGAGAAGATAAGGATTGTCACCAAGTCAAGAGTTGGCCACCCACTCATCAATTAGTCATCAAATCAATAGTTCCCAATTGTGGCCTATAAAAGGAGGCATTTGCCATGCATTTAGGCATCTTGGTTTCCAGATCAAGATCATGCTCTTCATTTCTCTCTTTGTATTTTTTGTAATGTTTATGCTTTGCTTTCATTAATATCAAGTTTATGGCTTTCATTTCCTTTCATTTACTTAGCTAACTTTTATCTTATTTATGTACTTATTTTATTTATTTATTTTTCTTTCTTTCATTAT